CTCATTTTATTTATTGTTTAGACACCGCCTGGTCATGCCATAAATAATTTCACACATTGTCAGCGACATTCTCCTCCACTTCCCGAAAACTTTTCCTTCTCATGTGGACCGCCATAAAATGTTCTGCTAGACAACAAGAACAACAACATTGAGCGCATCAGCAGCTCTATATATTTGTATTCTGTCTCTGGAATTTCATTGCTGATTTTTATCGCGTCAACATTGAAAATTTACGATTCCTAACAGCGCATAAATTGTTGCCGATTTTTATGAGCTGCAAAATATTTTAGACGCACGGTTCGGCGCCCCGTTCCTTTGATAATATAATGCATTCCAGAGTGTCTCGCAGATTGAGTCACAAGGGAGACTCTGCTCCCTACCCTACAGGACAACTTTGCTTCGGAAAATGGGGAAATGGGTGTGCAAATAATGATAAAAGGTGAAAAATGCACTCTCCCAGCACACGCAACTAAACGCAACTTATTATGGCATCGTTACTTACCGGCCCTGCAGAGGAGGGGCTGGGGAGTGGCAAGGGACTGAGGCAAAAGTTTCCGCGGCAACTTCACCTGCATGTGTTGCATACTTCACGGCGCTCGAGGCAGGAGCAAAGGTGAGGGAAAGAGAGTGAAGACTGCTGGGAAAATGTTGCGAAATTGCAGTGCCAAGCAAACAAGCCAACTAATATTTAATGCCTTGAGAAACGGGAAACGAGGGAGTGGCCTGAGAATTCTCATTTCTCCGACTGCCATGCAAATGTCTGCAGTTTGTCTTTTGACGAGAGAACCATCAATTGCTGACAAAGTCAGAACAAACGGTTGCTTTGCCATCGAGTGCCATCCAATAGTCTCAGAAGTTTAAAAATCAAAGGCGAACTGAGTTCGGGGAATGGTGACAGCCTCTTTAAAGTGTTTGGTCTGCTCGGTAATGACTTTTCTTCGCCAATAAATTTTCAATTTCCTTTCGCAATTTGCAATTTATTCTGCAGCACCAAAGCTAATTTCCCCCGTTTCTCCGCAAAAGGATGGGATGAGCGTTCGATGCAGTTGCTTTGTAAATCAATTTCCCATTTTCCGTGTGGTGCAAGCTTTTTGTTTTCGTTGCAGATTTTCGCACAACAGCTCATCGAGAGGCATAAATACGGTCCCAGAACCTTATTGTCTGGCAGCAGCCTGCTCTTGTTCTTTGTTTCCAAGCCGTGCATCGCCCACTCAATTGAATTGAATTGTTTATCTACAGAGGAGCAGCTTAATGCGCCCAAAGAGCGATAAGCGATAAGCGAACGTGAACGCCTCCCACTGGCAATTCACAAATCCCACGCTCGCTGAATACTTTTCCCACACTGCTTATGCACCGTTATTGTAAATCAAAGTCCTTATTCCTTTATTTGGCAAACAGAAATTGGATTTTAGTTGTGATGTTGGAAAAATGTTCGTTAAATATTTGCAAGCATCGATTTTTTGCTGTTTCCTTTGGAAACACTTTATGCCACTAATGGGTTGAGGGGCACAGATGGGATGGGAGTGGGGGAAAGGGGAAATATTTGCAAGTTGTTGAGCTGCAGATTGCAACTGTGAAAATATTTGTTTATTTTCCCTTTCTGAAATGCAACATTTGTACGCTTCATTTGACTTTCAAGGGTGAACAAAGCAGCAGGGAAGGGGAGTATATAAAAAAGCTCCGAATTGCGAATAGTCAGACGTTGAAGCAAAAAAAGCAACATTATATTTTCTTGTGTTTTCTAGCCCCAGAAAAAATCCTCTACGCTTTACGTGAATCCACACTCAATCGAGGCCTCCATTTCCATTTTATTTTAACGTCTTCAAAGTCATCTTTGCCCATGACTGTAAATGGGAATCATTTGTTGCCCCGCCGCCAAGTGAAACATTAAACTTTGACACAGCAACAACAATAAGAAGAACAACAGCAGTAACGAGCATGGCAGCCTGGCAGCCTCGCAGCAAACAAGGCAGAACAACAATAACAGAAAACAGTTTCTATAATGCAAGTGAAAAGGTTAAAGTCGTTTCTTTCCTTTCTTTCTCTGTCTCTTGCTGTTTATGGGACTTTAGGAAAGATTTTTTTATGACCCGTATTTTGTTTAAACGTTGCCAAGGGGCATTATAATCAGCTGCTGAATAAATGCTGAGAAATAGCTAGAGATGCGTCGTACATGGCGTATGAGGAACGTTCATAATAAAGCAAATTAATGACCAATTCCTTATGCACAAGGAAGCAAATAAGAAAAGCAAAAGAGCAGGAAAATACCGTTAAATTGGCTTAAGCCATTTGCCTGCCACGTCTCCATACCCCGCCCCCACCACTCTCAATGCAATTTGACTAATTAAGTTATTTTAGTAGACTCGGTGCTCGCTCCAACGCACAGGCGATGCGGCCGATGGGACATGACGACCAGAGGCAGTTCCTCACTTGAATGAAGAAAGCGTACGAGTATGTGCTTGGGTGGATATTTTTGTGTGTCTATGTCATCCATAAACGACGCCATTTGTGGCTAATTAGGTGGGGTCTCAAATTTCTTGGAAGTTCATTTATTTAATCTATAAAAAAGACATTTGCAAGATACGCATTTAATTGTTTAATATTTCCGTATTTTTCTGTAATTGTATGCAGGTTAGTCTAAGAAAATTCAACTTAGCCCAACAGCGTTGAAGGGATCTAGCTAGTATACTGGTCATAAAAGTAAATTTCATTGGTGGCATTAAGCGTTTTGTTCAGGCCTCAGAAAGTTATTTTAATTACAGAAGCATGACTACATGGCGTATGCGTAACGTGTTTTGGCAACTTTTTTCTTCTCGCAATGTTATCAAGCCTGCTTTAAAATAGAATCACGCACAACGGCAGCCAAAAGAAGGCTGCCAGTCAGTCCTATGGTGTTTATTGTTGTTGAGGAATTGGGAGGAGGAAACGCAGTTCCACAAACACTTGAAGGCTGCGCTTAATTCCACAGCCAGCTCAGTGAAATTGAGCAACTAGAGTACAAGGAATGCACCTCCTTTCTCCCTTGCGTAGCCACAAGCAATTTCAAGTCCTTCAACTGCAGTCGTTTGTGGCTTTCGTAGTTACGCGTTGTTACTGTTGCCTGTTGTGGTTGCAAGCAAGTGAACACGATGAGGGGAAGCCCGCAAGCTTTCAAAGTTTTCTGCTTAATTTCGCTTGAAATTTTAAGTCACAAAGCCGACTGTATGTTGGCATACATGTACTCGAAACAATCAACTCATTTATTTACCTATGCAAATTGGATAACACAGTGGGTGCCAGTTAAGCACACAGAGGCAAACACAAATGCCCAGCAACTACATGTAATGAGCAAAGTTAAAGCCCTCTGTTTTTGTGGGTGTGGGCGCTTTTAATTAAAAATATAAACTCGTTACTAGCAACGAGTGTAGTTTCCTTCTCTTATGGGTGCACAATTGTTATTATACTGTGCTCTCATCAAAAGGACAGCAGTTGGCCCTACAATTGCATTGGCAGTGTTAAACGCCATTTATAAAGAACTTTCTGTATACATCGCTTGGCAACTACCACACATTCTTCGAATAAGTTCCAACTACACCCCGAGGTGCATTTTATGGCTCGTAAGTATCGCCAGATTGAATTGACACTTGCAGTGCTTCGCCAAACTTAGGTGAAAAATGAAAATTGAAAAATGGATACAAATCCAATGGGAAAAAGAAAGTACGAGTATTTGCCAAGAGCTGCGGATACAGGTGACAGCTGCTAAAAGTTTTGTGCCAAAACAGAGCAGCAACTGTCACAATAGGTGATGGGGAAGGGGTAAGTTGTGGCTTAAAAGTTTTTAAAATGTGTCAAAAAGTGCAAAGTAACCGTTTGTGGGAAATTTCCAAATTGATGGAACTTTTCAACCCATTAGCGAGTTTTGTTTGCACAACAAAACTGTGCACGGAGCCACAAAGTCGCATTAAATCAATCGAATTACACAATCATGTCGACAGGCAAACAACCGCAAAGTGTTTGCATATTTGTAAGCCCAAAGCATCCTTAAGCTGTCATTTAATTAGCTATAGTACAACAGACATGACATCAGCGCCAATTAGTCCAAAAATATTTGTAGAATATAGCTGCCTCCCCCACCCGACACAAGTGCTTTCGAATTCATTGTCGGTGCTGCAGTTGAGAGTAATTGAACTGAATCGAGCTTGCTCGAACTTATGGCGAAATGAAAGCATGCTAGACACACGAATTTTAGCCACTTGAGTGAGTTCGCTATTTCCAGCTCATCAACTCTGTTCGAGGACTTGCTACATTTTAACAGAAAGCACATCTGCTGAAAATTTTAGAGTACATTCAAGAGCATTTCAACGATTATCGCACTTGTTTAGGTTTGAGTATTCAATGCTTTTCAACATTCATGTTCAAAGCTGTCTTCTCAGTAGTCTTTCCATTCATGAAATTAGGAAATACCCCGAGGTCAGCATACATAAATATTTATTTACACAAATATTGAAGCTTATTTAGAAGGCACTGTAATCGACACTCAATTTGCTTCGTCCATTACTACGATACAATCGCAAACAAACTGACTTCACAAAAGATAAAAAGAATGAATTTGTTGCTTTACTAAATACACTAGCTAACAAGGTCGAGAAACACTTTTTCACAGCAGAATTAAATTTTGTTTATTTTGTTTATCTATATTAACAGCTTTTTTCAACACAATATATTGAAATAATAATATTAGGCAAACAGTATTATTATTTCTATTTTAAGTTAAAAACGAAAAAAATTGTATTTTACTCTTATTTCCATGTAATATTTTATTTAATGCGCTAAATCATTCAAAAAATATAAAGCACTTAATATATTAAGAAAGCTGTCAGCTCCGATTCTGTGTTGCTGAGTGCAATTAATTCATTTATAATATCGTTAATTCCATCGAAACTGGCCGCACATGCCTTATCAAAACACATTTGTAGTTTACAGAAGGGACCGTAGTGGCGACTGTCATTTGTCGGTCTACGATGAAAGGCTCCGGTAGTTGGCGGAAGAGAGTAGTGGACTTCACTTGCTCGTCAATACTGTACGTTTCGCTGGCCTTTGGGCTTCTGCCTTTCAAATACGACGCCAGTTGCCGCAAATTGTCGCGGTCCAAGTGGCTCATATGTTACAGCATTGTGCTGAATGGAGGCCTTGTTTGGATGACCCTTACCCTAAACGTAGCGGAGTCCTTGCCCCTGGAAGAGGAGATATTCCGTCGCAGTCCACTGTCAAAGCAAATAAGCTCGCTCCTCAGAATGCTTAGTCTGAGCACAACTTTGCTTGCATTCTTCCGCACTTGGTGGCGAAGTGGAGAACTCGCAAGCGTTTTGAACGAATTTATGGAACTAGACACTTTCTTTTCCCGGCACTACAGCTATAAAATGGACATGAGGAGCTGCCTCGTTTTTGACAACTACATTGTCTACAAAGCCGTGTTCATAGTACTTGAGATTTCGTCAACGCTCTTTACGGAATACTCCTTTTCGCCCATCAGCAGCTGGCACCACTTTGTGGGAATCTTGGCACTAGCGACGCAGCACTTGGAGGTGCTCCTAATGTCCATGCACTTCTACCTCGCTGTGATTCACACTTATCGCTACATCTGGACCATTAACAGACAGCTACTGCGTCTAGCCAATAATTGTTGGACTCAAGATAATGTTGTAGATGTGGCAGAGGTTGAAAGAATGCTGCAAGTCTACAAGCGTCTGCTAGAGCTGAACGATCGGCTCGTTATCCTCTACGACTTGCAGTCCCTGCTGCTGATGATGACCCTGCTTTGGGCCAACATAATAACCGCGTTCTTCTTTGTTGTGATCAACTTCAGTCTGAGGAAGATGACAGCTTTCATGGCGCTGGTCGTCATTCCACAGATTACGATTATAAATTGCTGGGACTTTTGGCTAAGCATTGCGGTTTGCGAGCGAGCCACGTGTGCGGGTCGGGCTACTCCTGCGATCCTGAAACTGTTTAGCGATTTTCCGAAACTAGAAGGGGAACTAGAAAGGGCGGTGAGTTAGTTCGGACAAAAGAAAAACTTGATTCGAATGAATTTCCATTTCTTTGAGCAGCTGGAAATGTTTGCCTTATGGCTTAGCCATTGCCGTTTACGATATCGGTACTGCGGTCTCTTCTATATGGATAATGCACTCGGCTTTAAGATGCTCGTGACTGGCGTTCTGTATTGGATAGTCTTGGTGCAATTTGATTTCATGAATTTATAAAGGGAAGTGCCTCGAGAAATGGAAATGTTATTGAAACACTTTGAGTGCAATTAGTCGGAGATGGCGAGTTCTGAAGGGGATTTGAAGTGCCAAAAATAAACATGTTGACAAGCGAGTCGGAGTAACAAGTTTCTGCAGGAGATGATGATTCAATGGCTGATGCAACATACTTTCCTGCTTGGATTATTCATTCGACTTGCACGTGCTCTGAAAGCCAAGCGATGTTTCCTAAAGACGAGCATTTGAATAATACATGAAGTGTGAGGGAAATTGTGCACAAGTGAATGGCTTGTTGGTTCTTGATGGCAGCTGAAAGAGCTTGTCTCACAGCTCCTCAATGGGAACACTGCCTCAGGCCATCAACTTCGAGTAAGAGTGTGAAATAAAAATATAGTGTAGAAATATTTAAAGCCACCACAAACTACAAACTGTGAAATAAAAGAGCTGTGCAGCTAAAGCGAGCTAATGAAACGCTTCAGAGCGGAAAACCAACTTGGCTGGCAAAGCGGCTCGACAATGCAGCAAACAATGCGGTAACCACAATGCAGCCAACCAGCTAATAAAGCCAGAAAGAATGCTGCTGAAAGGCAAGGGGACGGGAAGGGAAGGGGTACGGGAAAAGTGAAATCACAAAGCGGTCGTTAACATGAGTCCAAGCGGCCTTTGTATGCACTGTTCTCCTAATTCCAACCACCATTGAGTGGCTCTTTGATTCATGAATATATGAAGGAAAATTCCAACATACTTGTGTACATGTTGATACACAGAGAAAAATATGAGGAAACGAGAATAATTGCAAAATAAACATTGTTATTTAAAAAACCATTAACTAAAGTAGCCTTGATTTTATTATTATTATTATTTCAATATATTTGGTTTGTTTAATTAGAATAGAACCTCCTATTCTTTTTGAGGTGAATATAACCAGAAGTTTTGTGAACAACACGAACATGTTTCGACATCAGCTCAGTATTTCAAAAGTCTATTTTTCTTGCTTTTTCGCTGTATACCTGAAATACAAAAGCGACGTTAAGTTATTTAAATCAAAATGTCTACCATACGCCACAAAAACTGCGTTTCAAGCTCTTCAGAGAATTAAAACACTGACAGCTGCCATAACTACAAATGAAAATGTCTTTTTCTTTTTTTTTCTTTTTCATAAAGCAGAAAAAAGTTGTAGGTGAAAAAAGTCGATACGCTCAGCCGCATAGATATACATATACTATATGTATATTTTCGTATATATTTAGGTATTAGGTTTTTGCGTCTGTGTGAAGTCGTTGCCGAAGCTAACCGCTGTCAATGGCAGGCATTCCGCATTGTGGACCCATTATGCGCGCTCATCGACATCAATAACAACAACAGCAACAACGATGATGGAAAACAAAACCAATAACACTGGCATCGCTCTCAGCACAAGTGCGTAAATTGATTTTTATTATCCTGTGCATAAAAATCGCCCAAAAGCCAGCAGGATCCCTTAGCTCCACGCACCGCGTCCAATGTTTGCTTACTTGGCAAAAGCTGAACAAAGTTTTGGGCCAATTTTTCGCATGCTTCGGCCGTCCCCATCCCCGTCCTTGTCCCCACCACCATTTCCATTGCCGTCAGGCAGCAACAAAAGTGTGCGTCAATATGTTTGATTTATTGCCGGCGTCTCGCATTCGCGCAAAGGACACGCACAGCGGCCAATTGACGCCGTCCCTTGGCCATGTTGTTTACACAATGAAAATCCTTATGGACACATTAGGTCAAATTTCGGATCAGGGCAGTGCCATTGACATTTTGACCATCACAATTCAAGAGAGTGGCTCGTAAATTTGCGCTCATAATACGTTTCATTGCGCTTTTTCGCTTCCCTCTCCATTTTCCATTTCGGCCAGCTTTCACTTTTCTTTATTAAACTGACAGCAGGTCTAAATGGATTACAGAATGTGACAGCATCTGAGGCACTATCATTAACATCTGAAGTATTATCTTAAATAGCTTATGCTCTTTAGTTGGAGGTGTACTAGATAATAACTTATATCTAATTCATTAATATTAAAAGCTTTATTTATATTAAATATGGCTTCAATTAATAGATAGGTTTATGGTTGCAAACTTTGTTAGACAATGTAATTGAAATCTAACAATGAATGGGTCTGAAATTTCATTTCCATACTTTAAACAAATTTGCAATAGTTATGTGAATTGGTCAAATAAACATTTGATTCGAGACATACTTTCCTTAAACTAAATTCAAGTAATAAAATTTGAGAAGTTTTATAGCAACTACTCACAATAATAAGCTTGTGAAACAAACATCTGCTTGCAAATCTAGTTTTGACAAACAATTGTAGCTTTGCACTGTTTACGGCATTCAATATTTCTTTTAACTGGCAAACTTAGTTGAGCAAATTGCCAATTCTCAGTGAGCTTTGAATTCAAAAACAATTGCTTAAACTGTTTGCCTTTCTGATTGCCTTGGGCATTTCAACATAAATTGTAAATTACAGCTCATTGACAAACCAATTCAACTAATGGCCAGCCTAGTCACAGATATCGCCTGTACAATTGGCAGCCAATTAGCGTAATTACTTTTGGCCTAAAAGAATTGGTTTCATTTGTCTTGGTCAGCACGAATATAAAATATAGCTCGACCTCGCAGAGGATAAAAGGGTACGTCTTCCACTTGATTGACTTACATTTATTTTAGGTAAAATAAACTGAATGACAAATTTCAAGGCTGCTTTGTCTTCAACGATCAAACTTTTGTTCCTTAAATGCAAAAAAGGATATTTATCTGTCGTCTCTTTGGACTTTTATTTTATTTTATTATTATTATGAATCTTTTCTTTCAGTAACAATGTGGACCAACGAAAAAATAATGCTCATTAGGTGATTGGCAAATCCATAAATATAACATCATTGGCATTAATAAAATTCATTATAGCTCATTATTTATCGGCCGTTTTAGTTGTCAAAATGTCAGCCTGATTCGATATTTGACCGCATGTGTCGATAGGAATTTTTATTATTGCTGCCTAAAAGGGTGTTGCTTGTGGCGCCTGCAGGACTCGGGCCATAAATCAACTGTATTGGTAAATTTGATAGAAGGGAAGGAGAAATCAGCCCACATATTCATCGACAATTTCTTCAAATAATAAAACAATTTGGGGATTTTCGCCAACCATTCCATCGGCGACAGCTCAGAGACATACAAGTATGTTAACCCATAATTGGTTTTATTGACTTTTTGTTAGATGAAGAACGATGCATGTTTCCAAAGGACAACAGCAACGTTTTAACTATAGAGCGATACGGTTACTGAAAAACAAAGCCAATGAAAGACAAAACCGTCTGACACTAATCTAGCAGACAATTGAGTGAAAGCTGAGCTGTGGAGGAACTGGAAAAACACGGAAAGCAACTGCATGCTTTAACGATTGTCGTGTACTTCTCATTTTCCTATTTTCCTCGTTTCCACTGGTTTCATGTTTCCGCTTTCATTAGTTAGTTGGCTGCGTTGAGGTTTTTGCATTGCTCGCTTCATCGTTGGAGAAGCAGAAACCTTTATTTTATTCGTAAGCTTTAATCTGTCTGCTTATTTGTCCTTTTCAGTAGTCAGTAGTTCTGGCTCTTTCATTTGGCATAGCCGCATTTTTATTTTGCATTTGAAACTCGTTTCGTTATCTCTTCTTCACTCATTTACTTGAAGTAGATGTCCTGTGGCAATGTTCCCATTTAGGTCCTGTAGCTTGAGCTCTTTCAGCTGGCGTCAAGAGTCAACAAGCCATTCACTTGTGCTCGACTCCTCCCCAGCCCCCCACTCATTTATCATTTAGAGACTTACATGTCCTTATAAAGTGAGGCAAACATCGCTTGGCTTTCATCGCAGGTGCAATTCATGTGTTGAATGCCCGGGGCAGAAAAGAACATTTCACCACCCGTGGAATCGTCTCCTGCAGCAAATTGCAACTCTTAGTCCCTTGTCGACATTTTCCCTTTGCCACTTCTAATCCTCTTTAGCCTTTGTCAGCACCTCTGATGAGCTGCAGCTCTGCTCCCGGCCCTGTTGGCTCCACTCTTTAGCAGCTGCCAGACAACTGCATTTGGCAAAAAGCAAACTCTGAGTGGTTGGCAAGCAATGAGGAGGCTGTCTTGTAAGGTCTGACAATACAATTACAAATTCATAAAATCGAATTGCACGAAGAATATTAAGTACAACACGCTGGTAACGATCATCTGGAACCCCAAAGCATTGTTGACATAAAACAATCCACAGTGTCGGATTTGCAGCTTTCGATGACTGATGAACAACGCAAATACTTGCACCTGTATAGTAATAGGAATATGTTATATCTACATTCACGCGATGATTGTTTTATACTTACAGTTCGTTCAAATTCCACACTCAAGCCGTTGAAGTCGCTAAAGAGTTTTAGAATAGCAGAGGTTTGGCGGCCCGATTGCTCGACCAGATCACAGATCTCAATGCTGAGCCAAAAGTCCCACAAATTGAAGGCTATGGCTTGCGGAAAAATGATGAATGCGATAAAGTCTGATGAGTTTTGTAAGCTTATGTTTATCACAATGAAAAAGAAGACGCCCATCATATTGGCAGTCAGAAAAGTTATCAAATGCAGGGTCACCTGGTAGTCGTAAATGGACACAATGCGATGGCTTAAGTTCAGGACCAGTCGGTAGTCCTGCAGCATCATTGGAAACTTGGAGGCGTCCACCGTCGTCGAACCATCTGCCAAATGATTGGCCAAACGCAATAGCTGTCGATTGACGACCCAAACAAGCCGATAGATGTGCAGAACGGCGAAGTAGAACTGCAGGGCCATCACCATCATAGAGAGTTGCAGCGCAGTGATTGTCAAAACTCCGATGTAATATTGCACTTTGTTTATCGGCGACATGCCATATTCCAGCAGCAAGGTGGACACAATCAGCAATATGGACATTAAGCCCTTGTGTATGATAAACCTATCGAACTGCAGGCACTCTTCCATGTCCAGCTTACAGTACTTGACGCAATGCTTTTCCAGTCGCAGCAGCTCGTTGATAACTCGGGCCAACTCCTCACTGAACCACCAATTTCGAAAGAGTGCCATCGAAATCGTAAACACATTCAGTATTCCGTGCAACAAATTAACGAGTTCCGCCAATGGATTCCGCTTAAATACCTCCAGCTCGAGTGGTTGGTCCTCTTCCATTCTGATCCGCAATGTGAGAAAAAGCAGTCCGGCGTGCAATACTACACTATATCCAATTAGCCACTTGAAAGGCTTTAATTTCCTGGTCCTGGCATCATACTTCAATGGCAATACACCAAAGGCCAGGGAGCAGTAGACGGTTGCCCACAAAGTAAGGCTCACTAATTTCTTGCGGAACTTACGAAGGCAGTCCATCGTCTGGATGGCAGAAAGTAATTTCCTCATTTTAGCCAACGACTGCTTAGCGCTGATAAGGACAAAAAGCACCAAGTCTGCGAACAGATGCAATCACCGAAGTGGGGATTAATTATTCCTTTGTGGGTCAAACTGCTGCGATGGAGAGTGGCAAACTAGGTGTGAGTCTATAGTGGTGGCTCGGGTCAAGTGCTAATTAGGACGGACCATGTGCAAAAGATAAGACATTTGCCAACATTTGATATCATCAGCCAATTAATTTAATGCAATATCATGTTTCTTCATTTCAAAAGCCCTAAGTACTTAATATGTGGCAATGCTGGGCTGTAAAACACAATGTAAGCACTGCAAAAAAGACAAAAAGCACTTATTAAATTGTGCCTAGCCAGGGAAAATTGATTCAGCGTCAGCTAATCAAATGAAATTCACTGAAATGTGAGACATTCGGCAGCCATCAGCCATTTAATCAGCTTATTTGCTCTCCCAAGCAACCAAAAGGCAGCGATTGATTGTAAACAAGAGATGTTTCACCTTTAGGATTGCTTCAGATTATCATTTGTTTGCCCATTAAAACAAAATAGAACGCTTTTTGGAAAGATTCTAACTCTTATCTCATTATTACACTCTGTTACACTCAGTTGCTTTAATACATATAAATTATTTACATAACTTTTATTATTTATCTTCAATTCTATCTAAAAATATTTATTTAAGGGCCATTGAATAACATGTTTGTCGTATCAATGATACTTATTATAGCCTGCCCCGTTTTTGTTTCCCAAATCGGTCACTCAAATGTCAGTTTAATTAGCCCATGAATCAATCGACTTATATAATTATAATTGAGGTCAAGTCAAGTCCTGCTGTTGTGTGTCCAACAGTCCCATTAATTGACAGCAATATCAATCGAGAAGTGTCAATTTCGTTAATACACATTTCAGTCCAATTAGTATTAAGATGAATTTAAAGCAGCCCATTAAGTTCAAATGTGGTTTGTATATATACATACTTTATTTATACTCTATTTTCAAAAAGGAAATTCTTAAGCTTAAGGCTTTGTGGAATTTATCTTAGTTTCTGATAATAGCCGACGCTATTTATATTTCCGTATGAGCATCACAAGCAGAATGAGATGAGGCTAGATTTTGTCTGTTAAATATTTCCACGCCATAAACTCCGCTAACATTATTTGACTTTTTTGTGTTGTTTTTTGCAAACAAAGTTTCAGCAGCTGTCACCCACGTTTGCAATACCTGTCTACTCCTTTTTTCATGTTATTTTCCACCCCCGACCGAGCAAAGTTTACTTTGCGATTATACCGACAGTGTCAATCTAATACTTTTACTTGGTTGCTCTGGAATTTCAAGCTGGAAACTGTTGAAAATTCGCACTCCGTGGCATACTTTAAGCCTTATTTTTTATGAAACAAAAATTCTTTCTTCATTGAAATTAAAAAAAAAAATAAGTTACTCAATTGAAACATTATGTAGAAGATGAGTCGGCTTTTTCCGGGACAATTGCCATAGTCCTGCTTACTATCTATTGGTTAGTATTCCATATTTCGTAGAGTTGTAAATTGTAAATTGAGTTAGTAAATTGTGGCCATAAAAAAGTGAGCAAGAAATTGCAGTGAATATCTTAAGCCAACTTGAAATGAAAGCAGTTTGGAGCTGATGGTCACCATCTCAACAACAGTGCACAGCAGCAACAAACTGTGAAAACCGCAATCGACTGCAGTTGAAGGACATGAAATGGCTTTGCGGTAGTTGTGGGTGTAAAGCTTCAGTCAGCTTTGACTGGCATGAGTTATCGCTCTCCATTCTCTACTCAAGCCAAGCTGTTAATTGGGGGAAGTGTTAAAAAGTCAACCCACAAGATGGTTCTCTCTTTTGAATCTCAATTTCACACCCGCAGTCCAGTGGCTTGGCGTCTTCGTCGCAAGCCGAAGTTAAATAAATACTATCATTGTTTACCATAATAGGTAGAAGTTCAGTCTTCAAGAGATAATAATTAAAAACTTGAAATATAAAGCTATGTCTTCCAAATTAAGACTTAAAAATGCATAAATTTGATTATTCGAAACATATTTTTCTAAATAGTAAAATCACAGAAGTAAAACATTGAAAAACATCTGAAGATCTCTAGATCATGATTATTAACATACCTTTCTATATTACTGAATCGCAGAAAAAGCCTCGAAACATAATTTGAAAACTTATTTATATTATACTAGTCTTCAATTTAAAAACTTACCTTTTTGGGATAAGTACAATGCTACTCAGTCGATTTGTGCGGCTTAATAGTCTCATGCTTTTTAAATAATTTTATGAAGACTAATCTAACTAAGAAGCAGCAAGTGTTCTGTCTTCATTATCATTTTTTCGCACTACCACAATCTTTCAATTCACAAAGTTCTGCAGATAATCAACTAGTTGGGCAATGAAAGTGTGGTGTCCCGATTCGTAAGCCTTTGTATGTGTGGGCATACGGATTTGGGTGCAGACAGACACGCCCAAAGCCTCAAGCACACAAACTCTGTCTAATGTGCCTAAAATTAACTTTGGTTGTCATGGCCCATCGGCCGCATCGTCTGTGCGTTGGAGCGAGCACTAAGTCTACTAAAATAACTTAATTAGTCAAATTGCATTGAGAGTGGTGAGGGCGGGGTATGGAGGCGTGACAGGCAAAGGGCTTACGTCAATTTAACGCTATTTTGCTTCTTTTCTTCCTTTCTTCCTTGCTGCTTTTTTTTGTATAAGAAATTGGCCCTTAATTATGATTATTAATTATGAACGTTACCCATACGCCGTGTGTAACGCATCTCTAACTATTTCTCATCGGCACGAAAGCGTTTAGTCGGCAGCTGATTTTAATGTCCCATGGCAACGTTTAAACAAAGCACAAACAATAACAAAATCTTTCCTAATGTTCCCATAAAAATTCAACGACCACAAGCAGGCGTCAGAGAAAGGAAAAGAAACGACTTTAACCTTTTCACTTGCTATGTCTTGTTCACAGCCCGGTTGCGAGGCTCGTTACTGCTGTTGTTCTTGAAGTTGTTATTGTTATTGTTGCTGTCAAAGTTTAATGTTTCACTTGACGGCTGGGCAACAAATGACACCCATTTACAGTCATGGGCAAAGATGACTTTAAAGTCGTTGAAGTCAAATGGAAATGGAGATCAGATTTTCAAGGCCAAAGCTGGAAAAGAGTTCTCTAAAATCTGCATCCATAAGCATAGAAAATTGCTTTCCCAATTCAGGGCTTTATTTTAGCCGCACTCGGAGCTATGATTTGAAATTCAAAGAAAAACAAACAGAGCTTTTTATATACTCCCCTTCCCTGCTGCTTTGTTCACCCTTGAAAGTCAAATGAAGCGTACAAATGTTGCATTTCAGAAAGGGAAAATAAACAATGTAAGAAAAATAAACAAAATATTTTCACAGTTGCAATCTGCAGCTCAACAACTTGCAAATATTTCCACTTTCCCCCACTCCCATCCCATCTGTGCCCCTCAACCCATTAGTGGCATAAAGTGTTGCCAAAGGAAACAGCAAAAACTCGGAGCTTGCAAATATTTAACGAACATTTCTCCAACATCACAACTAAAATCAAATTTCTGTTTGCCAAATAAAGGAATAAGGACTTTGATTTACAATAACGGTGCATAAGCAGTGTGGGAAAAGTATTCAGCGAGCGTGGGATTTGTGAATTGCCAGTGGGAGGCGTTCACGTTCGCTTATCGCTTATCGCTCTTTGGGCGCATTAAGCTGCTCCTCTGTAGATAAACAAAATCAACCGCAACAACACAAATTTCAATTCAATTCAATTGAGTGGGCGATGCACGGCTTGGAAATAAAGAACAAGAGCAGGCTGCTGCCAGACAATAAGGTTCTGGGACCGTATTTATGCCTCTCGATGAGCTGTTGTGCGAAAATCTGCAACGAAAACAAAAAGCTTGCACCACACGGAAAATGGGAAATTGATTTACAAAGCAACTGCATCGAACGCTCATCCCATCCTTTTGTGGATAAACGGGGGAAATTAGCTTTGGTGCTGCAGAATAAATTGCAAATTGTGAAAGGAAATTGAAAATTTATTGGCGAAGAAAAGTCATTACCGAGCAGACCAAACACTTTGAAGAGGCTGTCGCCATTCCCCGAACTCAGTTCGCCTTTGATTTTTGAACTTCTGAGACTATTGGATGGCACTCGATGGCAAAGCAACCGTTTGTTCTGACTTTGTCAGCAATTGATGGTTCTCTCGTCAAAAGACAAACTGCAGACATTTGCATGGCAGTCGGAGAAATGAGAATTCTCAGGCCACTCCCTCGTTTCCCGTTTCTCAAGGCATTAAATATTAGTTGGCTTGCTTGCTTGGCACTGCAATTTCGCAACATTTTCCCAGCAGTCTTCACTCTCTTTCCCTCACCTTTGCTCCTGCCTCGAGCGCCGTGAAGTATGCAACACATGCAGGTGAAGTTGCCGCGGAAACTTTTGCCTCAGTCCCTTGCCACTCCCCAGCCCCTCCTCTGCAGGGCTGGTAAGTAACGACGCCATAATAAGTTGCGTTTAGTTGCGTGTGCTGGGAGAGTGCATTTTTCACCTTTTATCATTATTTGCACACCCATTTCCCCATTTTCCGAAGCAAAGTTGTCCTGTAGGGTAGGGAGCAGAGTCTCCCTTGTGACTCAATCTGCGAGACACTCTGGAATGCATTATATTATCAAAGGAACGAGGCGCCGAGCCGTGCGTCTAAAATATTTTGCAGCTCATAAAAATCGGCAACAATTTATGCGCTGTTAG